TATCTGAAAATAACAGAGATAGTGTTTTTTTCTGTAAATACCCTTTCAAACATGCACATCTGGAGCTGAAAACCATCCCAAATCACATCAACTGTGTGTAAACCAAAGACCTGTTTGAGAACGGAGGAAATGAACCTGGAGAAGCCAGGCTGGTGACAAGGCTTATGATGGTGGTGGCTGCACTTCAGCCAAAAAGGTCAGGATGGAGCTCTGTGCCCTCATCACTCCTTGCCATAAAGAATAGTTGTGTTCCTGCCCTTCACCTGCTCATGTTTTGTTTTGTTGACCAGTTTGCAGCCAGAGTGTCAAAACAATCTCTGGATTTTGGTGAGTCACTAAGGAGATCCCTGGAGCAACAGCCTGGGAAAGTCTTGGGCTTGCTCAGAACAGGAATTGCAGGAGCTGTAACAATGCTGGTCCCTGCTGGTGTGTGGGGCTGGTGGGATCCTGGGAATGGCTGGAGTAGAATGGCCAAGTGCTGACTGATCATTTCTCTCTCTAACATCACACTGGGGATGTTTCCCCAGGGAGATGAAAGCCTCAGAAATGATGGTCACATTGTTAATTAAACCAAAACTGTTTGGTTTGAGGGCTTTTTTTTTCAAGTCTACAGGCCAAGCCCCCACCTGGGCACACAGCTAGGAGCATGGCCAGGGCCAGGAGCCAGCAGCAGGGTGCAAGATGTTGCATTGTACAGAGAGGACAAGGGGGGATGGATGAGAAGTGGGAGAGGGACATTGAGGTTGGACATGAGGAGGGAATTCTGGGCTGTGAGGGTGAGGAGCCCCTGGGCCAGGTTGGCCAGGGAAGCTGTGGCTGCCCCATCCCTGGGGGTGTTGAAGGGCAGGTTGGATGGGGCTTGGAGCAGCCTGGGCTGGTGGGAGGTGTCCCTGCCCATGCAGGGGGTTGGATCTAAATTATCTTTCAAGTGTCTTCCAACCCATTCCATGATTCTATGATTACGTGGAGATGCTCCCACACTGCCCTGGTGGGAGGGCTGTGCCAGGGTGTTTGCTGCTCTGACAATGCGCTGTTCCCAAAGATGAGCTTGGAAGCCCATTCAGCTTGTTGGGAATGGGATGAGGAATGGGAAAGAGCTGTGAGGCAGACAGAGGCTGAAGGCTTCCCATAATGCCAGCTTGGCATTCATACCAGTGGTGACTCCAGTCACTTCTAGTAGATGAGTGTTTGGAAGACAAAAACTGTGGTAAACAGCTCATCAGTTCTGCCTCTTAGGTTTTCTTTGGAAGCTTTTGAAGGGACACAATTTACAGCACCTATCCTGAGCTGTGGCTGTGTGCCAGGACACTCCTGGGGTGCTGAGCCAGGGGCTGTGCACCAGTGTGCCCCTCCTGTCCTTTCCAAGGCATGCGGGGGCACAGGGAGGAGTTTCCAGCTTGGTCTGAGCTGGAAGGACAACCACACGTTCCCCAGGATAAAACCAACTTCAGTTTCCTCTGGCAGCAGTCAGCAAACCATCAAAGCTGCTGGAAACTCATCCCTAAAGTTGCATTTTCATGGTATAAATTATTCGTTACTGCTGCTGACTCATAAGTGCTGGAGAGCAAAACACTGATTAGGGGAAGCAGGACTGCAGAAGGTGAGTGTCAGGAAGGCATCTGCTAATGCTGCTAAAGTCAGCTTGAAAAGGATTAACATGAGCACTGTTTCCTCACGGGCACTGCTGGGCTTGCTCCTATTAATTGTCAGATGTAACTGTCACTGCTAGTTGTAGAAATCTGTCTCCTGCAATTTTGCATCCAATTATTTGGTGCTTATACAGTAAATCCCTCAGGAAATGCAATGTCTCCTGACCTGCATTTGTGCAGTATCCATCCCTTTAGGGTGTCCAGTATAACTGGAGCATCTAACACTAACTGGAATTTACAGGCTCTGTAATAAGCTAATGAGTCCAGAAGTGTTAATCTGAATTTCCTGCTGGCTCCCCTGAAGGGCATCAACCATGTCCAAGAGTGGTCAGGAATTCACTCACTCCTGCCCAACATTTTTGCTCATTTATCACTGCAGCTTCTTACTGCTCTGCAACAAAACCCAACTTTCCATTCCCAAAAAAGCATTTCTATGCAACGTTGAGACAGAATGTAGAAAGAGGGGAAAAGGAACCTAACTTAGGGCTAAGCCAGAAAGCTGGACTCCTGTAGTCCACAGAAAAGGAGATTTTGGGATCTCAAACCTCTGGCTGCTCTTCTGAGCTACTGGAATAATGTCCCACTCTCTCCTCTGGCTGCAATGGTCAGTTTTTAACAAGCCTGGCAAGTTTTAGGTCAACGTGTCACAGGCCCCTACAAGCTTCTGCCCTTGCCAAGATCTCTCTGCCTGCTGTGATGGATGATTTGGATGCTTCTCTTTTAATTTCTCAGGTGACCACCACAGGAATGAGCCCAGGGCAGTAGCTGATCCACTTAGGTGTTTGTAATTGGGGATGTTAACAGACTTCTGGCACAGCATATGGTGCCTCACCACCCTGCTCTATTTTGGGGCTGGCTGAAGGCAGCATCCCCATGAGATAAGGGTTAAAGGGTGATAACAAACCCACAGTTGTCTTGGTCTGCAAAAATGACAGACGCTCACAGAGGCTTTGGTTGTGAGAACCCTGGTTAGGAAGGTCTTGGCAGAGACCTTCCATTCTCCAGACACAAACTCTCCTGTCTTTCTCCTGGGCTTTGGGCAAGGTCCATCTCCATGGTGGTTGCACTGTTGACTCTGACAGGTGGGATAAGACAGCTGTGGTGGAATTTTGCTGGTTGGTTTGGTGGGATGAAACATAGCACCTTGTGTCCAGGCTGGGCAGCAGAAATGTGCCTTCCTGCAACTCCTTCCTCTCTCCTCCTTGTTTACACCCTTGACAATTTAAGCCCAACCTTCAAGGCACAGATTATGCTGAAATGATGTGGGATGATTATGAGGAAGCTCCAGACAACACTTATCTGGGTTGTTCTAATTTTTCCACAGAATAAAGGGCTTCAAAGTACCTCTGTGTGATTAACACGTTGTAGATACACAGTTCTACTATAATAAAGATAATGACATGTTGTTGCAGAGCTAGGTCTTGTTACTAAGTATTAGTTTCACTTCAAAACATTATCTTATCATCCTCTTAAGCAGACCCTTCCTAGCTCTGCAGGTCAAGGTTATTTTCATCGTTATGCTAAAATAAAAGCCTTAAGTTTCTGGATGTCCTGGTCTTTGCATGGTGTAAATCTGCTCTAACCATTGAAAAGACACCTGAGATCATGACCCTGCCTAAAATCTGGGCTTAGGTTGTTTAAAACAAGATTGAAAATAGCCTGATAGCATGATAAATTAAACTTTCCTAATTAAACAGTGTAATAGCAATTACAGAAGCCCTTCCTCCCCAGTGATAACTTTGCTTGTGTAAATAAATTGTGAATATCCGCGGAAGTGGAGAGTCCACAGATTTACAGAGCTAGAGATTTTACATCTCTAGCTCTGCTTCCACCTACAGGATTTGGAGTCCTTCAACACCTCGAACAAGGAATTCCAGCCAAGGTTTTCAAAGCCCGGGGAGGAGTTTTGCACTTTCTTTCCAAAGAAACCTTTTGTGCTGTCAGCTCCAACAGTGACCATGAAGAAGCCCAAGTCAGATGGGTCTGAAGCTGCCTGGGGCTCAGAACAACTAACCCTAAGGACCATAATTACAGGCAGTTGAAGGAACAAGATCTGATTTGCAAGTTGATGAGATAATCACCAAATAATCAGTCCTTTAGCCTCGGGGCAGTTGGAGGAATTGTATAAAAGCTCTTGCAGCTCAAGGCTCTTTTCCTGCTTCTCCTTAACTTTCTCCTGAGGATCAGGTAAGTCTGATTTGCCTTTTGATTGTTGCTGCTTTAGTGTGGAGCTTTGTAATTCTCAGAATTGCTACAAACAAACAGGCGATTGTGGGTCTGAGAGAGGAGGATTTGTGGAGGAAAAGTGGAATTTGTTAGGAATTTAGAGACCCACATGGTTTGTAGACACTTTCTATTGAGTATATGGGGGTCTAAATCTTCTGCTTTCTACAGTCTCTCTATAGAAACCTTTTGCTACTGGAGCTTATTTCTTTAAGATGGTTATTTAACCAGCTTCTCATCTAATCAACTATTCCTTCTTTTATACACAGCCAGTGAAGTTTAACACTTTAATCCTTTTTCTCCTGCTGTGCTTACATAGACTGGTGTGTCCTCTGCATGTTTAAGGTCTCGGCAGGTGGGAACACAAAGCCTCACTTTTCAGGACAGGGCACAATTTTGTGGCAGAAAAACAACTCCCAAGTTGAGAGCTCCAGCACCAAAGCTGATCAACATCTCCAGGGGGTGTCAGGAGGGTGGGACCAGGATCTTCTCAGCAGTACCCACTGACAGGATGAGGGGCAATGGGCACAAACTGAAGCACAGAAGGTTAAAAGCTTCTTTGCTGTGAGGGTGACAGAGCCCTGGGACAGGCTGCCCAGGGAGGCTGGGGAGTCTCTTTCTCTGGAGACATTCCCAACCCACTTGGACATGTTCCTGTGGGATCTGCTGTAGGTGACCCTGCTCTGGCAGGGGGTTGGACTGGATGATCTCCAGAGGTTCCTTCCAACCCTCACCACTCTATGACCCCCTCTTCTGAAGGGAGGAACCTTCCTGTTTGCTGGATCTTCATAGGGATTCTGGTTTTAGTGGGACTTCTCTGTGGTTGGATGCAGAGCTGTTAAAGAGCTGCTGTCAATTGTTAGAGTCTAAAATCAGGCTGAAGCACCTGGGGTGCTGCTTTTTGTGGCCCTGAGGTTCTGGCTCTGCCAGAGCTGGTCTGAGACATCCAGAGAACCCCAGATGTGTTTTGCCAGTGGTGCCTGGCATTCCCAGCCTGTTCCTGTAGATGACCCAGCTCTAGCAGGGAGTTGGACTAGATGATAGACCCTTCTGACCCTGACCACTCTGTGACCTGTGCACCGATTGCAAGGCACCTGGTGTTCCTCTCATCTTCTCCCTGTGTTTCAGACTCACCCACTGCCCAGAGCCATGTCTTACTGCGGGGAGCTGTGCTTGCCCTACAGCAACCAGTGTGATGTGTCCTGCCCGCAGCCCTTTGCCAACGCCTGCAACGAGCCATGTGTGACATCCTGTGACGACTCCAGAGCTGTCATCTACCCACCACCCGTTGTCCTGACATTCCCAG